CGGGGGTGCCGACCCCCGACCCCTGGGACCCCCACCAGGGCCCCGGGCCCGGAGGTTGACAACCCTGGGGAGATCGACGAATGTCGTTCCATTTGCAGGTCTCGTTTTACCTGCAGGGGTGGGGGGGAATTGAATTGAGGCTAGATGTCTGGGGGTGGTCGGAGTTGTGGTGTGGGTTTCGTTTTTTCTTTTTTAACTTTTTTTTTTGTTTGTATGTCTGCGGGTGGACAAAGCTGCAGTTAGATGTATGCAGGTCTCGTTTCCGTTTTGTCACTTTTTGTCTCGGGGCCGCTACGTTCAGCGTGGGGGGGAATTGAGTTGAGGCTAGATGTCTGGGGGTGGACAGAGTTGCAGTTAGATGCATGTAGGTCTCGTTTCGCCTGTGCTCGGCAGGCAGGGGCAAGGGCGACGTGATATCTGCTTCAGCGATACGTCCGCCGTCTTGGCTGCGCCCCCACGCGCAGCGCATTATCAGTAGTCGGATGGTCATGGACCAGGGACGCGGCCACACTAATAGTATTTAGCTTACATCGAAGTTGAAGTCAGTCTTTTAGGTTGGAGTATCGAGCCCCCCCCCTGATGATGATCGGTTGGCAACCAATCGAAATGCATCATTGGGGGAAGGCAGATGTTAGAAGGTGGAGGCTAATACTGACGTGTCATGCATGTGTTTTTTCATAGATTGCTTGATGAGAAAGGAATTTATGCAAGTGAATTGTGTTAATTGCTCTATCTCATGTGTGCCTATTGAAGATTTGTCACCTTATTTGCATGACTCTTCCTCATCACCTATGTATGAAAATCCTACAAGCATATGACCGCTCAGTGACTCTCACGTAGAGATCATAATCCAAGCAAAAGGATTGAGGTGATAACCGACCAAGAAGGACAAAACTTGTCTATGAATGTAATCACGCATTTTGTTAACGCGATTGAAAATGTCAAACCTATTTTAGAAGTAAAAAAAGTCAGAATCTCCGGAACCACCCAATTAGTCCCATCCATTATACCAAAGAGTCGTCAAGAAACCTTAGCTCTTCGGTGGATTCTTAAAGGCGCCTTGTGGAGACGACGTTTGACAAAAAAAAACATAAGTTTAGATCAATCTTTATCTGCTGAAATACAGGATGCTTCGAAAAAACAAGGATTTGCTAGAAAAAAAAGAGATGATCTTCGGTGGTAGTTACAAAGCAACAAGGACAAGCGAGATACTAGAGGGGTTAGGTGAATGTGATACGTGCGAGAGAAGGAGCTATGCGTGCAGTCAGGATGGCCATTTCGAGAGATTGTCCTCAGCAGGCTAGCGCGCCGACGGGAAATAATAATGACAATCATAACAATGGCTATTATAGATATAACGGATTGTCATGGCAACAGAGGAAAGATGTGGAGGACATTGGGTGGATGAGGGAGCTTTGCTCGTACATAGCTAAAAAAAGAACGAACTCGAGAAGGAGCAAGAACGCTTGAGGTTGGAGGAAGAACGGAGGAAAAAGGAAGAGGAACTCCACCAACAACACAAGACTGAGATTGAAAGGCAAGCGGAGATCCATGATGCTCAGCTCATGGCGGTGATGACATCACAACTCAAGACTCTATACGATAAGCTGACCGGACAAATGGAGGAAGTTTGATCGAAGGTAGAAGCGCGAGACCACCAACATGATAATGTAGGAAAATTGAGGAGTGAGGTAATCGAACTCAAAAACGAGTTGGCGAGGGACGAAAGCCCTAAGAGGAGGAGGATGAACTTCGAAGGAAACTGGCGCAAGTATGGAAGCCGAAGGAAGTTGGCGCAATTACGGAAGCCGAAGGAAGAGCGAGATGTGGCAAGAGCTGGGGAAAAGGTGATGGAGCAAGCGATGGAGTGAGAACTAGAACAAACACTGAGGGAACTCGATGTAGAGGAGGACCAGCACGGACCTTCGTCATCCGTGAAACTCCATGAAGCAAAGGATGGAGACTCCAACAACACCATCATGGCCACAATGTGTCAGGTTCCCAAATATGAGGATACAAATTGAAGAACCTTCTACTCCGCGGATGCTAAGGATAAGGATGTGGGAAAATTGAGGAGCGAGGTGATCGGACTCGAAAGAGAGTTGGCAAGGACAGACAACCTTGAAAAGGAGGAAGAACTTCGAAGGAAGATGGTGCCATTACGAACGTTGAAGGAAAACCAGAATCTGGTAAGAGCTGCGAAAAAAACGATGAAGCAAGAGAAGAAGTGGGAACTAGAAAAGGCACAACAGGAGCTCGATTTAGAGGAGGAACAGTTTGCACCTTCGTCGTCAGTGGAACTCCAAGAAAGCAAAGGGTGAAAACTCCGACAATACCATCATGACCGCTAGGCGTCAAACAGTCGAATATGGGGATACAAATTGAAGAACAACTTACTCCGCAGATACCAAGGATGACATAGTCTCAGACGAAGAAGAATCTTGCGATCAATAATGAGGCTTTGATATCCGATTGGAGAAACTTCGCAAAGAACCATGGTGGACTACTGTATGACCATGTGTGGATATCTTTAGACCACATCGATGACCGAACTGCGGTGTTTATGTGGGGAATAACATATCGAGTGCGTGACGAGGGACAAGGCGATCAAAGTTGATACAGATCAGAATGCAAAAGGCTATAGTACTATACTCGAATGTGGGACCTGGCGAGGACGTGGATCTGGAAGGGAGTGCAGAGAAGGATCCGGATCTAGTCGACAATTGACAATTAGACCTCGACAAAACTTAG